TCTCTACAAAATTATTGCATTCTGGACTTCATTTCCCAGGATGCTTTTCTCTGGAGCTTAATTATATTTCAAACTATATTACTCAGGATTGACTTTCTCTAGAGCATCATTACATTGTGGACTCCATTTCCATGGATGAATTTCTCTATAGCTTTAGTACATTCTGGACTTCATTTTCTAGGATGCCTTTCTCAACAACATCAGTACATAAGGACTTCATTCAACAGGATGCCTTTCTCAAGAGCATCATTACATTCTACACTACTATTCCCAGGGTGCTTTTTTTTAGCATCAGTACATTTGGAATTTATTGCTGTATAGCATCAAAACAATCTGGACTTATTTTCCCAGGTTGCCTCTCTTGACAGCATCCGTACATTTTGCATTTCATTTCCCAGGATGCCTTTCTCTATAGCATGAGTACATTCTGTACTTCATTTCTCAGGATGCCTTTCTCTCCAGCATCACAAAATTATGGACTCCATTTCCTAAAATTCTTTTCTTTATAGCATGAGTCCATTCTGCACTTCATTTTCCAGGATGCCTTTGTCTACAGCATCAATACATGTGGGACTTCATTTTCCAGGATTCCTTTCTCTAGAGGATCATTACAATCTGGACTTCATTTCCTAGTATTCCTTTCTCTGTAGCATCACTGTGTTTCAGACTGGGGGTTAGTGTTAGCATTAGGTTAGGGTTAGCACTAGTATTTAGGGATTGTGTCAGGAGGTTAAGGGTTAAGATTAGGTTATGGTTAGGGTTAGGGTTAGGGAAGGGTGAGCTTGTGGTTAGGGTTAGAGTTAATGGTTAAAGTCAGGTTCAGGGCATCAGGGTCAATGGGTCAGAGTCAGCACATCAGGGTCAGGGGCTTTGGATTAGTGTTAGGGTTAGGATTAGGTCTAGATGTAACCAACAGTCTTATTAAATAAGAAACACAGAACCAATGTAAAAGAGAAAGCCAAGAGGTCAGAGCTCAGAGCTAAAATCTTACCCTTCCTCCTGTGGTGTCCCAGCTTCCCAAAAGAGAGCTATATCCTGTCTGTCAGTCTTTTTATAGTATTTTGTTCTGCCTTCTCATTGGTTGCAAACCCAAACACGTGACTGCCTCGTCACTGTCTGTATGTACAGCCCCACAGGTCTTAAAGGCATATGTCTCCAATGCTGGCTGTATCCCTGAACACACAGAGATCTATGGGATTAAAGGCATGTGCCACCACTGCCACACTCTTGCTATGGCTCTAATAGCTCTGACCCCCGGGTAACTTTATTTATTAACATACAATCAAAATCATATTTCAGTACAATTAGAATACCACCACAATTAGGGTTTGGGTTAGGGTTAGGTTAGAGTTTGGGTTAGGGTTAGGCTTAGGATTAGGGTTAAGTTAGGTTTAGGCTTAGGGTTAAGTTTATGGTTAGGGATAGTTTAAGGCTCATGTTTGGCAGCAGATTGTATTGTAACAGGAGCATGAATGCAACACATTTGTGTAACTCCTTCATGTAACTTGCATGTGCCTTCAGGACTTGTTCATGCCCAATCCTTGTATACCACTTCATTTTAATAACAGAATGCTACCGTGTGTGTCCTATTTTATGACTTGTTTGGCATGGTAAGATGATTTGGTGTCCCTGTAATACCCCTCCTTTGATGAGAATTTTTGGTTGCATGGTTAGCTGGTGGACCACTGTCAAATGTTCATTTTCTGCCATTGGCTAGGTTTAATGGCATGTGCTTGCATGCTTGCCCATATTTATTTTTGAAAATGACTCTATTTCCATCAGTGGCAAAGACTAAAAATGACTTTAAGAGGTAATGTTTTTTTCCCAATTATAAAAGTATCCTTTTTTGAGTTATTCACTTTTAGTTTTTTTCACTCAGTCTGTGTGTGTGTGTGTGTGTGTGTGTGTGTGTGTGTGTGTGTGTGTGTAAACTGTGTATCACAGTTTTTAAAATTCACAGTGATTTTTATACCTCTGTGTCTGGAGTTCTCGTACAAAAAGAATGCACTACCACACACAGCTTAAAATATAATTTTTATTGTGGAAGTTTCCACGGTGGCCAGAAGATATTTTAGTCCCACTTGTTGGAGTTACAGATAGTAGTGAGCTTTTATATACACTGGGATTGGAAGCTGGATGTTCTGAAAAAATCTTCAGTACTCTTAGCTGCTACTATATTTTCCACCCTAAGTTTTATATTCTTGATTATTTTTCTTATCCAACACAGCATAATCAGGCTGATGCTGATTATAAAGTGGAATTCTCCTTCATTTGAAAGAATGAGTCTCAGCCAGAAAGGATGCCCCCCTTAGTTATTCATCCATTATAACATGATTCTCCAGTTATCTGTATATATACAACTAATACAAATGGACACAGCAGGTTGTATTCATGTATTTCAGCATAGTTATTCACTCTTACCTAACAAGGAAGAAGTTGGAAGTGATTTGGGAAGAAATGTGATATAATGTCTTTTAATTAACAAATTAAAGAAATAAATGTAATAATGTAGATGTATTAATAATGGTCTTATTAATTAAGGAACACAGAGCCAAATGCAGAGTTATAAGCCCCAGAGGTCATAGAACAGTGGCTAAGAGCTGAATCCAAGACCACCTCTTCACCACCTGCTGCTGCAGCTGTTCTTCCTCTGAGAAAGAGACCTACTTCTTGTCTGTCTGTCTTTTTATTGAGTTTATGTTTGGCCTTCTCATTGGTTGTAAACCCAACCACATGACTTCCTCTCAACTGCCTGTGTGTACAGACCTCTAGGTCTCTATGGTTGGTATTGAGATTAAAGGCATGTGTCTTTATGTTGCCTATGTCCTTGAACACACAGACTCTGCCTGCCCTGTGATCAGATTAAATTCATATGCCACCACTGCCCAGCTTCTGCTATGGCTTGTTATTAGCTCTGACCCACAGGAAAAGTTATTTATTAATATACAAATAAAATCACATTTCAGCACATATAAAAATCACCATAATTTTAAATAAAAAGAGGGAGTAGACAGATGGCTCAACAACCAAATGCACTAGGAGCTGGGAGGTGGTAGTGCACACCTTTAATCCCAGCACTCAGGAGGATCTCTGTGAGTTCAAGGGCAGCCTGGTCTCCAAAGTGAGTTCCAGGAAAGGTGCAAAGCTACACAGAGAAACCCTGTCTCAAAAAACAAAGAACAAAACAAACAAAAACAAAAACAACAAAAAAAAGAGCACTAGGTGTTCTCTTACTGAGGTCCCAGGTTCCATGTCCAGGACCTGCAAGTAGCTAACCATTTGCTGTCAATCTAGTCCCAGGCATTTCCTGCCTTCAGGTCTCTTTAGTTACTGTGCACAGACACATACAGGCAAAACACCATATAACTAAAATTATTTTTAAAAAGTTAAAATAAAGGAAAGAATGGGATTCTTTCCAGTAGTGTCACAGCCCTGAGACAGACAGCAGCCAGGACTAGTTAAAATGAACTTTTCTGGTCTTGCACACAGCAGTTGTGGCCTTCTTCTAAGCCTTTGTTCTAAGGTTAATAGAGCTCATTATAACTGTTCATCTAGCAGCAGAGCAAACAGTGCTGTTAGGTGACTTCTCCTTGATCCTTTCTGTATTTGTGTTTTCTATTTTTCATATATGGGAGAATTGAGGCATTGGTATGTTACCTTTTAGATCAGTTATCAAGATTCACAGGTCACATAGGCTCCAAAACCACCTATTTTCACTGTGTTATTGCTTGATTTTCAGGTAAGACCTTGTGGTGCAAGATGAGCATGTCAGAGGCATTTCTTTTGATCATTTGTAGAATTTATATGTTTCTGCATGACTTTGAAGTAACAGTGTCTTTGCTTGTACATTGTAATCATGTTTAGAAGTGTATTTGTTAACTGAGCATGCTTAGGAAGAGGAAGAACTCTACATGAACATGTCCAGATTACCTAATTAAAGTCCCCACAGTTCTTTTGTTTAGGAATCACTCCCATTCTCACCTTGCCTCCTGCAGGTAAGAAATCTTTTTCAATTTATCTGTCCCATCTGTTGTGATCACTGTTCTTGGTAATCAAACCAACTTAGTCTGGAATAACTATTACCCACAAATTTTGGTGCATGTGTAAGGGGTTTTAATTAAAGGTTTAAAGTTAAAGATCTTTTTTTTTAACACACCTTAAATCCCAGTACTCAGAAGGCAGAGGCAGGCGGATCTCTGTGAGTTCTAGGCCAACCTGGTCTACACAGTTAGTTCCAGGATAGACTACTAAAGCTACACAGAGAAACCCTGTCTTGAAAACAACAACAACAAAGACTCATCTTAATCTGGATCTTTTCAGGTGCTACCCACCTTCTGCTCTTTGGTGGTCATGCACATCTCTAATGACAGCTCTCAGATAGCAGAGGCAGTTTGTTTTTCTGAGACTGAGGCCAGCCTGGTGTACAGAATGAGTTCTAGGACTACACAGATAAACCCTGTCTTGAAAACAACAAAAATTCAATCAACAGTTGTGGTCACATCGTGAGACCCCCAAGCAAGACCACCACAAAGCCAATATCTGATGCCAAATAAACAGGGGTTTATTGATAACAATCAAGCCCAAGCTTGGTCCATGTCCAACACACTGGCTAGCCAGGTAAAGGAAGATGATCCTGAGCTCTCAGGGTAAGATTTTTTTAATGGAAAAACCACAAGCAGGATGGTACAAGCCCAATCATATGATTGAGTGAGAGTGTGTAACCTTTGAATTTACTGGTTGGGGGATACAGTTATCACTTTTGAGCAGGCCTGAACAAGTCCCAGGCTCTGTCATTGAGCTCCCCTGGGGGCTGGCTGGCCTTGCACATACTGACTGTGGGAGCTGACTCACTGGCCCAAGCTCTGTCCTTGAGCTGCCATGGAGGCTGGCTGGCCTTCCACAAAACAATGACCCATGCACAAAGCTCTAAGTTGGTGAGAGGTCCCAGACAGTAAACAACTGAATGAACCTTGTGGAGCTGTCAGAGTATGTGCAAAAAGGGAGCTACTGGACTAAGTCATAGCCCTCCTAGGAACTGCTTGCTTAAGTCTCAAGACATTGAAATTGAGGCCTGATCTCTGAGAGAAGACTGTTATGGTGTCTGCTTGGTCCTTTCACAACAAAGAATAAGATGCACCTTTAATCTGGATAGCAGCTCTTGGTGTCAACCTATGTATATAAAGGGATATAAAGGGTATTAAAGAAGGAAGTTTCTTTGCCTGCTTGTTCTAGATCTGGATAGGAACTTCACTCTTTCCTAACATTAGACGCTATGTCCTTAGAATTTTGGTGTCTACTGAAGACCAGCTGAGAACTCCTGCCTCATGGAATGAACAACTACTGGAGTCTTCATATTTCCATGGCAGGCAGCCATTGTTGGACTAGCTCTACCATAGCTTGTGAGACATTCTAATAAATCCACTTTCTACATACATGGAAGGTTCATTCTACCAGTCCTGTTCATGCAGAGAACCTTGAATAATGTGGTGTTTTGTTTTGTTTACATCTGCCCATGGAGGAAGATGTCCTGGCTAGCAATAGTGCTTGCAAACACTTTCCTTCCTAGCTCAACCATGCTTAAAACATTCAACTTTCCATGAAGACTAATCTTTATTATTAATCATTTGCTAAGAGTTTGCTCTGAAATTCAGGAATAAATCTCCTAAAGCAAAGGAGCCATCACCCAGCATTCTGATGGGAGAAGGACCTGCTTTCTTGTCTGTGATCTGGTTCCTGCTTTCATTTCTGGTTTTTTAAATTCCCTGTGATGACTAGATAAAAAGTATATTCAGTTCACCTGATCTCAGTGTGAAGTCACAGAGCAAACATCTGTGATAATATTTTATTTGTTCTCTAGCAAATAATACTTATCTAGGGATCAGAGGACAAAGCCATTGACTAGTTAGACATAAAGGCCAGACAATTTTGGGACACACACCTTTAAACCTATCACTCAGGAGGTAACAATTCATTTGGATCTTTGTGAGTTCAAGGCCACACTGCAAACAGAGGCAGGCGTGATAGCACACACCTTTAATCCTGGCACCTAGGGTCTCATGTCTTTCCCTGGGGAAGACACACTTCTTTAATCCAAGGAAGTGATGGGAGGAGGCAGAGAGGTATATAAGGCATGAGGACAAGGAACTAGATGCTTTTAAGCAGTTCAACTGAGAACCTCAGGAGTGAGGACTCACAGGCTTTCAGTGTGCGGATTTGTGGAAACAGGATCATGTGAGGAGTTGTCGAGGTGAGGTTGGCTGTGGCTTGTTCTGCTTTGATGATGTTTAAGTTTTCATTCCAATATCTGGCTCTGGGATTTTTACTAATAAGACAGTTTAGCAGTTTGTTTTACAAACATCTCCTTTTTATTTTTAAATCTCTTTTAGTTGTTAATATTCTGGAAACCTTTCCACCCATGTGACAGCGAATCACCCCACACCACACAGTACAGTGGGCTGCATACACTAGCTGGTGACATTGTGTCCAGGGGGAGGAAGGGAAAGTGCCTATGGAGTGCAATAAGATAGCAGGGTTTGCATTGGAGCCGGGGCAAGTGCTATTGCAATGCATATATCTGCTGATTTAGAAAATATCTCTGTCTGCAGGGAAAGGCAGGCTTAGGAATTATTGTACTGTGTTTTTAAGCATAGTGTAACCCTATGGGAGGTGCTCTTTTCACTCAGGCCTCACTAGTCAATCAGGCCCTCCAGGCGACCTGTCAGTCAGAAGTGGTTCAGGGTCCTTCCAGCAGCCAGCTTCAGGCTTGACTCCGAAGAGGTGAAGGTACCATTGATTCTGTGAGCTGTGTTGTAAGTGCTGCTGCAGAAAGCTGAGCAGAGAGCATGGACAAGCTGGGAACCCACAACATGGTGAGTGAGGGACTGCTGTCTCCAGATGTGGTGGGGCAGATCATGAGGTTGAGGAGACAGTGTGGTGGGGCCTCCCCAAATATGAGTGGGAAACTGCAGCCAGAATCCCTGTCCTGTGAGGTCCTGTGTGGTCCTTGAAACTTCCTAGTCCCAGGGCAGTCCTCTGAATAACTTTGCTCTGTGGGCTGATTCTGCTCACAGAATGGGGAGCAGGGAGCTCTTTGTAGAAAGATATTTTTGTAATCAACTTCAACATTCTTCTTGTTGGAAAGAGTTATACCCAGATTGTGGGTATAACGAAAAACCTAATATGGAGACTGTATCCCATAAGTGAAAGCAAAGAGCCTTTATTTTCAAGTTGGGGCTTGGTTTGTCTGTCCCACACAGCAGGGAGAGCAAAGAACCCTGAGCTCAGGTGGGATTGGGATTTTATTATAGCGGTGGCTGGAGTGAGGAAGTTTCCAGAATTCAGGACCCTGATTGGCTGACTATTGTCTAGGGGTGTCTGAAAAACAAAAATAGGTGTGTGCTAGATTTAGGGATATTTGGCCACCTTATCTTATTTTTAGAATATTTGGGATGTTAGGTGCTTCCCCATCCCTGGGTGGATCGCTGGGTGGAGTAAGCTTATGTCTTTTCCTGAATCTGGGTGTGGCTTGCTAGGAAGCCTGTCACGGAAAGTCTGTCTGGGCCCCTAAGCCTGTCATGCAGCTGTGTGCTCATGTTGTTTAGGGACATTTCCACAAGAGCATATTGTTAAAACTAGAAGAGGTCTAGTTTCTCCAGTACCTTCTAGAGATTCAGCACTTTTCATTTACCTTTCATGTTTAAGATCCTTTTTCATTAATTTTGTGGAGGTTGTAAAAGGTATCTCATGTGTTGGGTAGCACTCCACTATAAAGGTATGATCTGAAAGAGTATAATTCATGATATAAAGGATTCATTAATTCTTTGGAGAGAGTAAGTGATACAAAATAGAATTTAGCCGAGAGAGGACTGCCTACAAAAACACAAAATAAGTATATTCTCCAGGCCTGTTAAAGATTAGGACAGTAGGATACACATTTGTTCACAAGGATTGTCTAGACACTTGGCTCCAAAGCATTACAAAGGAGACACTGCTCATTTACAATGAGCCACTAGGTCTAATCCTATATCAAAGAATATCCAACAAGCTGCCCACTGAGGCATTACAGGTTCACAACCAACCTTAAGTCCTGGCATGCCATAACATTCTTATTTCTTCATTAGAAAGGCATAGTTCTGGGCAGTGGTGGTGCATGCCTTTAATCCCAGCACTCGGGAGACAGAGGCAGGTGGATCTCTTTCAGTTCAAGGCTATCATGGGCTACAGAGTGAGTTCCAAGAAAGGCACAAAGCTACCCAGAGAAAACCTGTGTTAAAAAATTTTCCTTTAGAAAGGTATAGTTCTGCCAAATGGGCAATATGACACCAAGTGACAAACATTTGAAGTCAAACACAGGTTTGTGGTGGTGGTGGTACACGCCTTTAATCCCAGCACTCACTTGAGAGGCAGAGGCTAGCAGATCTCTGTGTGTTTGAGGACAGCCTGACCTAGAGAGTGAGTTCCAGGAGAGGCTACAAAGCAACACAGTGGAACCTTCTCTTGAAAAACCAAAAAAAAAGAAAAAAGAAAGAAAGAAAAAGGAAAGGTAGAGCTGGGTGGTGGTGGTGCACGC